AGAGAGAGAGAGAGAGAGAGAGAGAGAGAGAGAGAGAGAGAGAGAGAGAGAGAGGTCATCGGGAGAGCGATTACTGGAAGAAGAAGAAGAAGAAGAAGAAGAAGAAGAAGAAGAAGAAGAAGAAGGAGCAGCGGCCGGCTTCAGATCGGGCCAACATGTCCGGGGGATTAAAGAACACCCCTCACAGGGGGGTAACGCCAGTAACATGCCGAGTAGCGACGTGGCAGCTGACACAACGACCACTTGGACGACGGTCCATGGCGACAGCGGCTCCGCGGAGGGGGTCGCTGTTCTGTTAGAGCAGAATGTGGGTGGGCAGGTCGTCGATGGTGGTGGGGGGTGGGGTGCGGTGACGGATGATACCGGCGATGGCGGGGGGTGGGGAACCAACACGCAAGTTCCCGGCGGCGGCGGGTGGGGTTGGGGAAGCACCACTTCCAACGGGTCTGGGTAGGAGGCCGGCCGCAGCCACGCTCCGACGAGATGGGGTAACGACACCGTTATTTGGCCGAACCCTTCCGCTACCGGTAACGGCCGTAATTACAGTCCTCCAAGTTCGGGTGATGAAGGAGGTGATGGAGGCGGGGGCGGGGTGGTGATGAGGACTAGTAGGTTATGTTAGGTTTGTGTTTTTTATTTTTTTTAGAGTTTTTCTTTCATAATCCACTTCTTCTTCTTCTCCTTCTTCTTCTGCTTCTTCTTCTTTTCCTTGTTCTTCTTCTATTCCTTATCCTTCTTCTTCTACTTCTTCGGTGCTTGGCGATTCTGAAAATTATTGATTGCACATTTGCATTCGTTCTGTATTCCGTTTGCAAAATCTAGGTTTTTTTTTTTTTTTTTTTTTTTTTTTGCGTTGGATGTCTTCATGACTTGATGTAATGCGGTCTTCCCTCGCCCTCTTCGATTATTCAATCAGGAAAGGGAAAAAAACCAAAAAAACACTGCAAATGTATGTCAATCAATCCATCGATCAATCGAAAAGGGGAGTGGGCAAATCGAACCTGGTGATGGCTTGATTGAATTATTGTGTGTGCGTGTGATTGCGCCCACGCGCGCGCGCAGGTGTGTGTGTGTGTGTGTGTGTGTGTCACAATGTGTGTGTGTGTGTGTGTGTGTGTGTGTGTGTGTGTGTGTGTGTGTGTG